GGCGACTCACCTCTGTATCTTGGTGAGGAAGCGGAGGCCCAGAGAGGTTGAGGCAGTTGGCCAAGGTGATACACCCGGGCAGTAGACAGAAATAAATCCAGGCAGAATGCCGAGGGGACCTCAGCGAACCCTCCAGAGGGACCTGTCCTCCGCTCACCTGTATCTGGTAGCCAATCTGCTTTGCTGTCACCACTGTCCCAACATCTGCCCGCTGGCATGGTGAGGCTGCCTGACTTGGGACATCTGCCACTCCTCTGTGACACCTGGTCTCTGGTCACTGACTGCTGTCACTAGATACTTGGTCAACACTGTCTGACCAGAGCCACAGCAGCCAGTAATTCAGATCGGGGACAGCTGAGCGCCCAGGGACGATTGTCCCCGCTGCTTTGACAACAAGCTTTTTGCTTGTGGGTGGCCTCCCTCCCAGCCAGCCCTCTGCCCCTACCATGTTTTCCCAGCCACAACTTGAAATGCTTTAAAGTTGGGCACCGTTGGGCAATCTAAACACAATTTGCACATTCCCCTGTTATCCTAGTCAGTACTCAGGAGGCGGAGGCAGGACGATACCGGTAAGTTCCAGGCAAGCCTGGCTACATTGTGAGCCACTGAAGAGGACAGACGCTCCTACAATTGCCCTCAGTTTTCAGGGGTCAGAGGTGGACAGAGCTGGGGTTGAGTGGCGGCAAATAGGAAGCCAGACTCAACTTAGTAAGAAAGAGATACTAGAGGTGGGGTTTTGAAGGGTGAGTAGAAGTCTGCCAGTAGGACTAAGGCATCCTGGGACTATCATGTTGTCTGGCTCCACGGTCTCCAGTCTCACCAGGAACCACAGCTACCAGACATCCATACCCACTCCCAGCCCACAGACCTACATGGAGAACACACACATGTGCACACCTCTGGGCGGCCCATGGACCAGCAGCCAGCCCCCCCCCCCCCACTCATCATGAGGCTGCAGGCTCAGGAAGCACAGCTGGGGGCTCCCCTGAGAACTGGCTTCCTGTTTTTCTGGCTGGGAACAGCTTGCATTCTGGAAGTCTCTGGCTCTTGTCAGCCCTCCCTGGACCTACATTCCGGCTCATCCCAGTCCTGACCCTGTCCAGCACAGGCTGATAAAGAGACTGAGGTTCAGACTGACCCACTACTTGTTCAGGGAAGAGAGGAGTCCAGAGCTAACCTACCTCCTTTTTAAGTGCCTTGCCCTGGGCCTGAGGTTCACCCTGAGGAAACCCCTCCTAGCCTGTGTCCCACCAGGTGCAGCTGCAGGGCCACCTCCTCTCAGTCCTGGTCCTTTTCACCACCTGCATCACAGTCCCCGTGTCCTTGATTCCTACCTGCTTGGTGAGCACACAGGCTGTTTGTTCCCTCTGCCTGGAATACCCTTCCCTGGCAAACTCCTCTTCATCCATCAAAGCTCCAACCCTAATGTCCTCTCCTCCTGGACTCTCCAGACTCCATCCTCTCACATGGCTCCACCCTGATTCTGTGTGACCCAGACTATGTTCCTATCTGACCCCATCTGAGGGTCCTTGAGATGCGGCCCTAGTGTCACAGCCTCTGGGACAAGGATGGCCTTTATTATTCTGCTGAGCACCCAGTGTCAAGGCTCACTGGCTGGCCGGCCACCTGAGATTCAATCCTGTGTGAGGCCCTTGATAACAAAAGGTTCCACTTGAACAGATGGAGCCAGGCAGTAGGGTAGACTGGTTTGGAGGGGCGAGAACCCCCAAGAGCCTATGCTCAGAGCCTGCCCCTGCTCCACCTTGACTGGGGGCCTTGCACAAGTCACCTGTCCATGTGCCTCAGTTTCCCCACAAGGGATTGAGATCATTTGGTTTTCCCCTCCCCCATGCTGCCAGGCCCTGTTTTTCCCTCCCCTACTGGCTGTAGCTGGCACAACCCATCACAGGCTGAGTCATTGTTTCCCCTGGCCACTGGCTGGCCTCTTGCTTTCTGGGGACTTTCCTGAACATCAAAAACAAAGTGGATGGATCGTGACTGTAGTTCAGTTGGTAGAGTGCTTACCTAGCATGCAGGAAGCCCTGGGTTCCATCCCCAGCACCATGTAAACCATGCATGCTAGTGCACACCTGTCATCTTAGCACTCAGGAGATAGAGACAGGAGGATCAGGAGTTCAAGGCCCGCCTGGGCTATATGAGACCCTGTCTTAAAAAACAAAGAAAAGTAACCACATACCGGGCATGGGGGGAAGGCTTTTAATCCTAGCACTCAGGGCAGAGGCAGGAAGATCTCTGTAAGATCGAGGCCAGCCTGGTCTACAGAGCAAGTTTCAGGCCAGCTGGGACTACAGGGAGACCCGGTCTCAAAACAAAACAGGAAAATAATCCTCCTCTCACAAATTAGTGACTCCTGGGGTGAGAGGGAGGGGCCCCACTTGGACAGAGCAGATGCAAGGACAGGTCTTGGGGTCAGAGAGCTGGCTTCGCCAGGGTCCTTCAGGAATATCTGAGCCTGAGCTGGGAGGAGACTTTGGAGGCTTCGCTGGTGGGGACAGGCCACCAGGACAGGCTGTCCTGTAACCAGAGTCCAGGAAGACTTTCCCCTTTCCAGTCACCCTCGGGCTCCCAGCTCAGAACAGCATGTGCCTGGGGAGACAGTGTGGGGGCTGGGCCTGGTGGTGAGATTCCTGAACAGCAACCCTGCTGGGCCCGCGCCAGTGCAGGCGGGAAAACAGGAGTCAGCGCCCTGCCTGCCTGTCACCCTGAGGTTCTGGGTTGGCAGGAGGCCAGAGAGAGACGGTGTCAATCAGTACCCCAGAGACAAAAGAGAGGCAGGGAGAGAGAGGTTCTGTGAGGTGACAGTCTGATTCGAGGGGTCCCGAGAGCAGGTGCAGGGTGGTGACACCCTTCATTCAGTTCACAGCCTTCCTGCAGGGTGTGGGGGCCACAGTGGGAACTGGCCCCAAGTCTTGGACAAACGAGTGCGAATTGCAGCGTGAAGACTGTGGGGATGAGGGTAGCAGTGATGGCTTCAGCCAGGGGGCTGGGAGACCTGAGATGGTCCGGCCAGGGTATAAAGAGCAGCCCGTCTGGTGGAGAACAGTCTCATAGTTCTAGAAACCAAAGGTCCTGAGGTAGGAAGACGACTCTGTTTAAGCTGCAGGTAGAGGTAGAGGGAAAGGTGGGCGGGGAGTCTTGGGTGTCTGGGCAGGGGTGGAAGCTTATATTTGAAACAGACTGTTCTCCTGCCCTGGGGTCCCTCCCTCTGTTCAGGGACCTCCTGAGCCAGCCCCTTCCCGCTGGTCACTTATCTGACCCCCAAAAGCCTTTACTGAAGCCCAGTGCCCACAGCTGCAGACTCAGGAGGTCTGAGGACAGGCAGCGTCTTGTCCCCAGAGGGAACAGTCTCCGTCACAGAACCCTATGCATGTTCCTGGTTGGAATACACATCTCAACTGTCTGGTCAGGATCACACACCCGAAGCCAGGATCCTGTGTCTTAACCAGACCACGGGGGCTCACTCCAACTCAGCCTGATGAGACTGGGGGGACCACGTGGTGGGGACATTGCTCAGCCCCTCATTGGTGGGATTTTCTCTGACTCTGATGTGGGATGGGCTGTCCAGGCTTCTGGAAGACCCCAGAATCCCTGCTCATCTCTGACATCTGCCAATTTCTCAGCAGGATACCAATTAATCAATTTTTATTTTATGCGTATGAGTGTTCTCTAGCCCTGGCGCTATATTTAATGGTGCACACCTACGAGCTGGGCCGACGGTCTCCACATGCACAGCATATGGACTGAACCTTGGCTGGAGCTGGGACTCAGTGATCAGCGCTTTTCCAACCACTGAAGCCTAGGCTGCATTACTCTAGCACTTATGAGCCTACATAGGCCCTGGGGTGCATGTTAAGTACTGAGAAAGTTAAGTTGTAAACAGAGGCAACCATACTGTGCAGTCAGTTGTATTTTAGGGTGTTTATCCAACCCTTCCCAGCTGCCAGTGCAGGTGCTAACTTGACCCTGCCCACCCTGGGTACACGTCCAGACAGGGGCGGGGCCTCCGCCTGAGGGGTGTGGCTTCGGATCCTGGGCAGAGCCTCAGCTGCAGGTCTAGGAACCAGGTATAGCACAGCCTGCAGGGCCTCCGTTTTCCTGATTTGTTTTTGTTTTGGGAGTGTTTTGGGAGACAGTCTGCAGTCCAGACTGATGTGGAACTGGCCAACCTCCTTCAGCCCCCACAGTACTGAGGTCATAGGTGTGGTAATTTTGAGGGACAGTTCAGTCCTTCCCACTGAGTTACTCTCTACCCCAGCTGGACTTCCTCTAAGGATGACAACCACAGGCCACCAGGGCTGCGTAAGAGCTCCAGGATTTCAAAGACACCTGTTCACAGAGGTGTCTCACAGAACCACGTGGAGACAGCCCACATCCATTAAAAGATGGACTGACAGGCTGGAGAGCTGGCTCAGCGGTTAAGAACACTGACTGTTCATACAGGTTCGAACCCCAGCACCCACATGGCAGCTAAAAACTGTCTGTAACTCCAATCCCAGGGGAACTGACAGCCTCTTCTGTCCTCCGCAGGCATTGCAGTACATGGGTGCTCTTACCTACAATACATGCATACATATAAAATAAAAATATTTTTTAAAAAACGGACTGACAGGCTGGAGAGATGGCTCAGGAGTTAAGAGCACCGATTGCTCTTGCAGAGGACCCAGGTTTGATTCCCAGCACCCACACGGCGGCTACGAACCGTCCTTAACTCCAGTTCCGAAGCCCTCTTCTGACCTCCATGGCATTGCATGAGACAGGTGCACTCACATACATGCAGGTGATATACTCATACACATAAAATAAAAATAAATAAAATATTTAAAAAAAAAACGGACTGACAAAATGTGGCTCCCATACAAGGGACTGGTACCAACCCTGAAAGGAAGTGCGATGGAAAATATACCGAGCAAAGGGCTGGTGGGGCTCGGCAGTCCTCAGGACACGGTTCAGAGCAGTCAGAAAATAAAGTAATAAACTCATCCTCTTCCTCCCACTTTTATTGTTTGAAATTGTACAAAAGGTAATGATTTAAGGCCTGTCAAAAATGTATCCCAGTGGGGCCTGCCTCAGCATGGTAGGGCTCTGAAGTGGGGGCTAGCGCAATTGTTTCCCACCAGCCACAGGCACCAGCCTCAGGGAACACACAAGTCTATCCGTCTGTCCTGCCAGGTCATCTGGGCCCATCTTGACCCTGGCCCATGAGCGAGGCCCCATGTTTTCATTCTTAGCCTCTAGGGCAGGTCTCATCTACAGCGTCTTGACCTGGGTGGGCTCAGATCACCCTAACAGCTCTCGGGCTTTGGGGGCCTGGGCCAGAGGTCTTCAAAACCTGGGACTACGCCAGTGACCTTCCTACATGCCTTTCCCTGGGCCTTCTCTCCTGCCACCCCCACGGTGTGGCCACAACTAAGACTCCTGCGCATCTGGACCCCCAGTTCTAAGATGGAGGGAACAGACACCTTGGTCAGTGCTGACCTCCAGCTTTTCCTCTGTGCTTGGCTGCTTGCTGAGCTCCTATTCATATATCAAAGCCTCAGATGAAATGCCCTTCAGACTCCTTCTTGGCCTCCCCTCTGACTTCTCCCAGGTTCTATGAGATCAGAAGTACCCACATCTGGTTTCTTCCCTTCTGTCTACAGTCCTGGGGCCGGGGCAGGCTGCTGTATCATATAGGCAGGTTGAACCATCTCAGGTTCCATACTGGGTACCAGAAGCCTCCAGAGGATGCCCAGTCCACAGAAATAGGTCTTCAGGTGTTCCTCGTTGGTCATGTGTGATGTCCAACCATGCTTTGCATCATCGGAGACTCAGTTTTCCTGATGCAGCCTGTGCAGTTGTCTGTGGGGACTACAGACCTGGTTGTCCACATGTCTGTTACTCAGCAGGTCATGCACCTTAGCCTCACAGCCCTCGAGGGTGGGTTAGGATCCTCCTGACAGATAAGAGTCCCTGTGAGCCACCCCAGCCACCAACCCCTAAATCCACCCAGGGAAGAGGCAGGCAAGGACCCAGGGTGGGGCACAGCCCAGGCTGGTCCAGATCTTGTGGTTCAGCCCACATTTGGTTTGTCTGTCAACTCTGAAACTCACCCACCACCTTCCTGTGGCTCGGAGGGGTGTCAGGGGACTTACCTCAGAGTACAGCGGTGGTGGGTGGTATCGGAACTCCTGCAGACAGGCTAAGTAGGGGCCATCCAGGTTCATGACAGGGTCAGGCAGAAGTGGGAAGGGCGAGCGTGCTGCCACCTCATCCTCTGCCACCACCTCTGAGTACGGAGGGGGTGCTGGAAGGAAGGAACAGGTGGGCAGGGCCCAGACTGCTGAGTGGGCTCCATGACAGTATTGTTGAGCCTTTTTTTTGAGACAATGTCTCTGTAGTCCAGGCTGACCTCAAACTTGCAGTAATCTTTCTGCCTCAGCTTTCTGAGAACTAGGATCACAGGCATTTTTTACTGTGACCATTTACAAATTGATTTTGTTTTAAATTTTCATTTATGTATTTATTTATGTGTATGAGCATTTTGCCTGCATGTATGTAACCGCGCCACACATGTGCAATGCCTGCAAAGACCGGAAGAGGTCACTGGATCCCTTGGAACTGTAGTTACAGACAGGTGTTAGTTGCCATGTGGGTGCTGGGAACTGAACCGTCCAACTCTCCAAAAGCAGCCGGTGAATGGTTAACTGCTGAGCCAGCTCTCCGGTTTTGGGTTTCTGAGATAGAACTTCCTTATGTGACAGGGCCTCCTTACGTAGCCCAGGCTGGCCTGGAACCCAATCTTCCTGCCTCATTCTCTTGAGTTCTGAGATCCCAGAGTTGACTGTCACTGTGGGGCTCTAGGAAAACGTCCCCTTCACAGAGCCTCACTTGCATTGCCAAGCTTGCACTCCTGACTCTCCTGACTCAGCCTCCAACTGGGATGACAGGTTTGAGGTCAGCCCCAGCCCAGAAGGGCCTGGAAGGTGTGGGGCCTGCCCCGTGACTCCGCCCACTCATAGCACTCACCCTCAGGCTGCTCCAACAGGGTACACAGGCCCCAGTCCTGCAGGAAGCTGGCCCGGCTGCCCACACTGGAAGAGCGACTGCCCAGCTGGTGCAGTGGTACGGTGCCGATTACCAGCGGCAACTCTAGCAGCAGCTTGGATGAGCCTGGGATGTCCACACAGACCTGCGAGAGTTGGGGAGATCCGCAATGGCACAGCGGCTCCACGCGGCTCTACCTCTGTGGGGCGATAGGGTGTGGGGGTCTGTGATACCTTGAGCGAGTAGTCCACACTAAGCACGCGGCAGTGCAGGATGGATGGACCCACGGGCGGAATACGCAGTGCGCGACCGGGCCACAGCGCGCGGCACCCAGGGGCCACGGGTTCGCCAGCCATGCTGGCCACCGCCATGCGCTTCTGCTTTCGGGCACCACGCGCCATGAAGGTTTGCGTCTGCATCAGTGCCGCTCGAGGCTGCACTGGGCGTGTGGAACCATTGTCGATTTCCGCAAAGATGGGAATGACCTCGCCTGCGGCAGGAAAGCTGCCTCAGTTTCCCTGACACGGTCTGCTCCCCTCTTTGGCCCTGCCCGCCCCACCTGCTACCTGGTGTGTAGCCCTTGCGGTCGATCTTGGCCGACAGGGACACGAGGCCTCCGGTGCAGTACCAGGACCGTGCCACCTTCTCCCGAGCTCCAGCCTGCGGGGCCTGCGTGGACACGGAGCACCACTCTAGGTAACCCAGGCAGACCTGGAACCCCAGGCCTCAGGAGGCTGAGGCAGGAGGATCAATGCAAGTTCCTGGCCAGCCTCTGTTACAGACTGAGACCCTGACACAAGAACTAAAAGCTAGCCAGGCATGTTGGTGCACTCCTTCAATCCCAGCAGAAGCAGGTGAATCTCTGTGAGTTCGAGGCCAGCCTGGTCTACATAGTGAGTGCCAGGCCAGCTGGGGCTACAGGGAGACCCTGTCTCAAAAAGACCAAAAAAAAAAAAAAAAAAAAAAAGCTGGGGCAGGCTGTGAGGTGTGAGACATGCCTGTCACCCCAGTTCTGGGTAAGTGGAGGCAGGAGGATCAGGAACTCGAGATTATCCTTAGCTACATAGAATTTGAGGCTAGCCTGAGTTAACATGAGGCCCTGTCTCAAGAAATAGAAAATAGCCAGGCCCATGGTGGTGGCCCTTTCTTTAATCCCAGCACTTTGGAGGCAGAGGCAGGCAGATCTAGGCCAGTCTGGTCTACATTTCCAGTTCCATGCCAGCTGGTGCTACAGGAAGATATTGCCCTCCCCTGCCCACCCCCAAGACAAAACACATAAACAGCAGGGATGGTAAGATGGCTCAGGAGTAAAGGCAATTTCCCCACAAGTCTGGCAACCTCTGTCCATCCCCAGGACCCAAGTAAAGACTGAAAGAACTGACTCCACAAAGTTGTCCTCTGATCCCCACATGCCAGCTAAGGCAGGATAAAAAACAAAACAAAAGAAAAAACATGCAAATCCAAGCTCTGTTGTTGACTGAGCATTTGAGGCTCAGAGAAGGCAGGACACTTGCCCAGGGCCACACAAGCAGGTGAGTGCTGCCACCGAGTTCCCATGGACTCTACACTCAGCACCCTGCCTCCCTCCATTTCCCCTGCCCACCGGCGACCCCTCACCAGCAGGGCCGGAGAGTTGATGTCCACGGGTTCAATGACAGTAAACACCTTTCTAGCGCGCCGTGAGGGGATCCAGGGCCGGTGCAGGGTGGCCTTGATGGAGTATCGGACACTGCCGTGTTTGCCCTCAAAGGACGTCACCAGGGAGCTGCAGTGGCGACAAGGGGTCAGGGGAGGTGAAGGGGCGCACAGGAGGGGTGTCCAAGGTGTCCCCCTACCCAGGTACCGGGGCTTACAGAGGCAGCTGGAAGCTGAAGGGGAACTCGTGGCGTCCTGCGGGCAGCGTGGTGGTATCCCCCGCATCTAGAAGGAACGCACGGGGCTCAGTGCGCGCGGGGATGCGGGGGGTCACGTGCTCGGACTGCGCCCTCGGGGTCCCGGGCCGGTACCTGGCGCTAGTAGCGTGGCGTGGTGGCTCACGACCTCCACGCGCTCGCTGTAGCTCTGCGTGTACGCGGTGCTGGAGCCCGCGGTGCGTGACTCCGTCCAGTGCACGTGCGCGCGGCCCCGAGCGCGCAGCCTGAGCGCACCCACGCGCGCCGCGCCCGCCAGCTCCAGCAACACCCGGCCCTCCACGGCCTGGCCACCACGGAATACCGGCTCTGCGCCCGCGCGCGCCCCCGCCAGCTGCACCGCGAATGCCTTGACCTTGTCGAGCAGCATTGCGCTGTGGGCAGCGAGCCCACTGCACAACGACTTGGGGCTCGAACCCGCGACGTGGAAGCGCCTGGGGGCCGCGAGCTCACCGCCAGCCTACCAATATCGGCACAACCCGCACGCGAAGCCGCCGAGTCCCTTTTATAAAGGAAGTGGGCGGTGCCTTAGGAAGCCACGCCTCCCTGAACAGGTTCCACCAATAGTGAGGCAAAGGGCGAGGCCTAAGAGCAAAGCCGCGCCCCGCCCTCCCAGGGACTAGACCAGTAGCGTGAGGAGAGCGGAGGCCGGCGAGAAAGCGGCGCCTCCCGGAAGGAGCTCCACCAATAGCACCGTTGGGGCGTGGCCTCGCGCAAGCTCAGAGCCAGAGAACGCCGGCGGTAGGGCAGCATCGTTTGGCGTCGGGGCGCGCGGGGCCGCCTCTCTGTCTAGCATTCCCAGAGTTAAGGAGGGAAGCTGAGGCCCAGAGGTGGGGATCCATGCCTGAGTCACCCAGCACGGCAGGCTGCCGATAGGTTTGTTTTTGAGACAGGATCTTAGGTAGCCCCAGGCTGGCCTTGAACTCAAGGCAATCCTCCTGCCTCAGCCTCCTTAGTGGATGACAGGTATAAATCACCAGATCTAGCCTTTGAATCTGAAAAAAAAAAAATGGTTGGGTTTTTTTTGTTTTTGAGACAGGGTCTCCTTGTAGCCCCAGCTGGCCTAGAACTCTCTATATAGACCACAGGCTGGCCTTGATCTCTTGAGTGCTGGGATTAAAGGTTTGTGCCACCAAGACTGACTGAAAAAAAATGTTAAGACTCATGTAGCCAGGCTGGCCTCCAATTGACTATGTATGGGAGATTGACTTTGAACTCCTGATCCTCCTGCCTCAGACTCTGGTGCTGGGATGGCATTGGCTGCCATGCCTGGCTGCTTTTTGTGTCAAGACAGGGTCTCATCCTCTAACACAGGCTGTTCTGGAATTCTCTGCAACCCTCCTGCCTAGTTTGGGGTGCCAGGCATTTGCCAGTAGGCCTAGATCCTGTGGCTTAATCATCAACCAGAAGCCACCTACAGATGTTACTGGTTGGCAGGTTGGTCTGAAACATTGGGGAACCTGGCCTGATGGCACCTCTGTATCCCCAGCCCGCAGAAAGGTGGGAGGAGGAGGGGTAGGCCTCCCTCCACACTGGGAACCCTGCTTGGCTAGAAGACTCCAGGTACAGGACAGCATCTTCGTGCCTCAGTTTCCACTTCTGTCAGGCCAGGAGGAGTCAGCTTTGGCTACAGAGGGTGGTGTGTACACATTGTGCGTACCCAACTCAAGTGTAGAGAACACTCAGGCCCCTCTGAGTCCAGGGCTGCAGAGAATGCCTGGGGACCATGTGACCCTTCTCCAGGCCTCAGTTTCCCTAGAGAACCACAGGGAGAACTCCCTTGGAAGTTCAGTGGGGTGTCTTTGGGATGTAGGCAGCCCCTGGTGGAGCTGGGTTGTGCTGGAGCTCGAATTCACCTCTTACTATGGCCTGGGGCTTGGAGCCCAGAGACCCCACGAGGCTGCACAGTCATCAGAGAACTATCATACACAACTACAGTCACAACTCACCATGAGAGTCAGAGGCTGCTGCAAGGGGCTGAAGGGTATGAACACCCTGAGGGAACGCCATGTAGGAAGGGGGTCTGGTGGGAGGTCCCCATGGCTAAGATGTGCCAGGAGGGAGATGCACGGGCCTTAGACTCAGGAGGGAGCAGAGAAAGTACAGACTGATCAGAGTGGGTAATGAGCCACAGCAATTGAACCATCACCTCCCTGGGATTTTAAGGAAGTCCTCAGTGAACGTCTGGGTGACTCAATACTTCCTTTGAACTCCCAGGGGAAGGAAAGTTCCCCCTGGGCCCTTCCAGCCCCACTCCCACATACAGAGAGGCTGACATTTCCCCTGTGGCCACACAGTGGGGCTCTGGGACAAAACTTCAGTCCAGCAACCCCAGGCTGATTCAAGCTGAGGGAGGATGGGATCCGACCAAGATGCACAATGGAGCAGCTGGCAAACCCCACTCTCTCTTCCTAGGTGGGAGACACTCCACCCGAACCCACAAACATCACCAGAACCCCCCTCCACTCCAGGAAAAGGCTCAGAGCAGCAGACACTGCAGGGTAAACTGAGGCAGTGTGCTGGACAGCACCTAGGTAATGAGCATTCTTGACAATCAAGGACCCTGAGCCTAGGAGTCCTGAACAGGAGACCTCTTAGTCCACCTTCATGTCCCACAGTAGACCCTAGATGGAGATAGGATCCCTCCGTGATTGGGGTACCACACTGCATACTTTTATCACAAGGCCATCCTCAGCCTGGAATGGGGACCCCCAGACTCTAAGCAGGAGGACATAACCCAGGATGGATTGTGGGATAACTAGGGGTTCTTACTTTTTTTGAGATAGGGTCTCATGTATCCCAGGCTGTCCTCATACTAAGTAGCTGAAGATGACATTGAACTTATGATCTTCCTGCCTCAGCCTCTCTAGGGTTGGGTTGACAGTCCTGACTGAGCCACCATGCCAGGCTTTTGTTTTTGTGGGTGAGAGGGGTGGGGGGTGTCTCACAATATAGCCCAGGCTAGCCTAGGACTTGTGGAATCCTCCTGCCTCAGCTTCCTGAGTATCTACAGCTTGGGGTGTGGGGTGTCCCTGCTTCTCAAAGCCCCCAGACTTCGGCAGGATCCTCGGGTTTCTATCTCACCTGGGAGGAGCACCTGCTGGCGTCGCAGGTAGGTCTCGGCTGCGGTGAAGTCGCTGGCCAGTGCGTTGACGCCCACGCTGCGCCCCTCCAGCCAGTGAGTGGCCGCCCGACTTCGGGCCGCCACCACCAGCGCTCGCACCCGCAGCGGCGCGGCCGCCTCAAGCAGCACCCGGCCCCGAAGCCGCTCCCCTCCCCGTAGCGCGGCGCCCGAGTCCAGCAGCTCCAGAGCGAAGCTGCCCAGCGCGCCGGGATGCATGGCCGGGGTCCGCAGCAGGGACTTCCTGATCCAGAGACAGGATGACTCAGACTGGGGCGGGGACGGATGTGGCAGCTGCTGGCGGCCCCAGGAGCTCTTACACTCATTTGTCCCCGACCCAGCACTGCCCCGCCTGGCTAGCCAGCCACCCGCCTCGGATCTGTCCCCAGACCTTTGCACAGCCTGTGTTAGCCCATCCACTTTGTCTCCGACCACACCCAAAAGTCACCACTGGAGTCAACCATCACTTCCAGCGTTTATTTTCTTTTTTAGGTTTTTGGGTTTTTTTTTTTTTTTTTGGCTTGTTTTTGAGACAGGGTCTCCCTGAAGGCCCAAGTGGCCTGGAACTATGTAGACCAGGCTGGACTCCATCTCACAAATCCACCTGCCTCTAAGAGTCCATAGTACTGGGATTCAAGATGTGCCACCACCACTCCTGGCCTTCATTTCTTCTGGTTACTTATTTGTCCCCAATTTGGGCAGAGCCTAGTCCTCAGTACCCCCTGATGGACAGGAGCAAATACTGGGCCCAGCAGGGGCAGGGTAAGGCCACCTGAGGCCAGGAGGGAAGGAGCTGGGAACAGGTACTGAGCACCAGCATGCTAACTCCGGGAGGGGGGCTGAGTTAAGTCCTGGGATGTGCACACTGTGGCAGACTGAGCAAGTCCACCCAGTTCCACCCAGCAGCACCTCTCCAGAACCATCTCAGTTGGGGGGGTCTAAAGCCTGTCCCCTGGGAACTTGCACTCAGCCCTATTATCTCACCTAGCCAGGTGGCCAATAGCTTATCAGTGGCTTTCAGGACCAGGACTCCCTGGATGGGTCCTGAATAGGTCCACCCATGCCTACCTGGGGCCCAGTGTCCTCCAAATGCCCAAAGCCTGGAGTCCAAGGCATGGAGGGACCTCTATGATTCTGGTTGTGTCTGTGACCCTGGCCACTAGCTCTCCTCTAAGGCTGCCCCTGGACCCTCCTAGGTGTCTTTGGCCTCTGAGACTCCATTTGGAATCCATCTACCCATGCTGTGTGGCCCCAGGCAAGTGGCTTCACTTCTCTGAGCTTTCATTTGCTTTATCTTACTCCAGGCAGATCCCAGAAAGTATACCACAGTCCCCATATACAGCAGATACTCAATACATGTCAATGAAGCCCCCCTCCATCCAGGAACCCCCAGGCTGGGGAGTCCACTTCCTGTGGGGGGCTGCTCAGGGTCTTCCCTGCCACCCAAACAGGAAGTTGGTGGCTCCTGACTTACTTGGAAGTGACATCGTCCTTGGCCACCAGGGACTTGGGGACAGCTGAGCCTGCAGCCTCCCACGGACAGCCTCAGAATGATGAACCCAGTTCCACTAAGCTCAACTCCACCCTGCTTTGCTGAGACTTCCTGGATGGTGTGGAGCTGGCCGTGACCACGTGATGGCCAAGATTCAGGGGTCTGGTGGCCAGCTGGGCCGTCACCCACAATCTGAGGGGGTGGTGGGCAGCCAGCAGCCTGGTGGACTCTGGGTTGTCAGGGATGGGTGGTCAGGGCCTGGTTGGAGGGGTGGGAGAGGGCATATGGCTTGGGCGATGAGGTCGGGCAGAGCCTGCAGGGAGGAGCCCAGCGCATCTAGGCGGCTCTCCAGGGCGGCCAGGCGGGCCTCCAGTTCCTCCTGCTGTGCGTGCAGCTCGGACACCACTTCAAATGAAATGCTCTGTGTCTGCACAGAGGGAGAGACAGATGAGTGACAGATGGAGGGACACGGGACCAGCTCCATCAGGTTGTGATGCTGGGAGGATGGACTAGAGATGGACAGGGATACTGCGGAGTACTGGTCAGGGACCATTGTGAGGGTCGGAGAGCAGGGAACATGACCACAGCAATTTCTGTTATAGCAGTTAGCAGGGTGTGGGCCTGCACACCTTGCCCAGCAAGCAGCAAGTGCAGATGCACCAGGTCCCCCGCTGCAGGCACCACACTCAGCTCACCGCCAAGGGGTGGGTGCACTGCAGAGCACTGGGGACACTGTTGTCAATAACTCGCAGAGCACAGGGCTGAAGGAGAACGCAGAGCCCCACCCCTCTCTCCTTCCAGCCATCACACTTTTACCAGGGTGGAGCCCCACCTGTCACCACTTGTCCGGGGGCCAGAGTGGGACATTTAGAGACACCTGGGGCTGCCCCCATCTCTCAAAGGCTCAGGGCAGGGCCCTCTAGGTGTGTGTTGTTTGTTTTTTGAAGCAAGGTCTCTCCCTTAAGCCAGCTGTGGTGGTGCACACTTTTAATCCAGCACTTGGGAGGCAGAGGCAAGCACACACACATATAAGTAAAAATAAATCTAAAGAAAAAATGTTTTCAGAAAATATTACTGGATGGGACATGGTTCAGAGGTAGAGTCCCTGCCTAGGATCTGCCAATGAAGGGCTAGGGGCATGGCTCAAGGGTAGAATGACAGTCTAGAACCCCCCAGTAAAGGGCTGACTCAAAGGTAGAGCCTTGCCTAGAATCCCCCGTGAAGGGCTGGGGATGTGGTTCAGGGGTACAGCTTCTGCCTAGAGCCTTATGTATAGGGCTGGAAGTATACTGGAAGCCAGGTATCTATGCAGGCCAGGTTGTTTCTGACCTCTCGGGGCTCCAGGGACCCTGTGGCCTCAGCCTCGGGAGGTGCTGGGACCCCAGGCTTGTGTGCCAAACCTGGCATATTAATCTGGCATATTAATTAAATTTAACTCAGGAGTCCCGTGGACTTCTAGCCTCTCCCAGTCTTTGCTCCATGCCAGTGACGGGTCCTAGTCCTTGCTGCCTCGATCCCCTGCCCTCTCCTCCTGTCCCACCCTCTGCTCACCTTGGCCAGGTCAGCCAGTGTGTTTGCTTGATCGTTCAGCTTCCCTTGCTCAATCTTCACGCTCCGGAGCCTGTGGGGACAGGTGCCGGTGACTGGTCAGGTGGGGCAGCAGAGGCTGGGGTCCTGTGAGGGCACACCCGAGGTGACCCTATCAGACATGCATGGGCTTTAGGGCCGTGCGAGGGTTGTGTGCACCAGGCTGGCCGAAGTCAGACCATCTCAATGAGCTTGGGCCCCAGGCTGACCCAGGGGACAGACATTTGTTGCCAACTTGTGGCATGCCGGGGGTGTGCCCATCCCATTGTTCCCATGCACCCCAGCCTCCCAGCTACCCCAAAGACTTACTTCTGAGCCCTGGCAGGATCCAGGAGAGCAGGAGAAAATGCAGTTTTAATGCCAGCCCAGTAACATGCCAAGTGCCCACCAGCAACCCCTATGGCCTCCCAGAGCTGCACAGGGGTCCTGGGCTGCTAGCACCTCTGAGGGTGCAAGGCTGGCCTTTAAGGACGCCCCTGTCTTCTTATTCAGTGATGTCCCTACAGCCCTGGCCAGGATGCCTGTCACTGCCTTTAGCTCCGCAGCCCCACTGCGCAGGCATCTGGCCCTGGACATGGTGACTTGCCCAGAAAACACTCTTGGAGGGAAACTGAGGCTCACAGTAGCTAAGTCATAGGAAGTTGACTCAAGCAGGTTTTGAACCTATACTCACCCACAGGGCTCAACGCTGTTGGCTGCTGTGACACCCAGATGGGGTATGAAGTGGACCCAACCATCCCCTCGATACACTCTGCATCTAAAGTCACCTGGGGGGCCATGCCCTGCCTCCTAAGGCCCTGGGTTCTGTCCCTAGCACTGGCAAGCTCGGGGTCCCAGGTTCCATTCCCAGCATCCCAGTTTGGAAAAAACACAAAGAGAGGGGGAGTCAGACAGCATGTCACTGAGGGTCAGAGCCAGGTTTAAAGCCCAGGATCACCACTACTCCAAGACTCAGACCCTCCCCCAATTCGCCCAGTGCCTTCTGTGCATGTTTTCCAGGACCAGTTTCCTGGCCACTCAGTGTGTCCACTATGGGGACTCTGCAGTTCAAGAACATGCGGTGGTGACTCTGGATCTTTGGACCTGACTCTGCCTACCTCCCTGCCCCAGCCTGGGCAATTCACCCTCCTGGGTGTCACTGTCCTGCGATTTCTGTCCAAACCTTGTCCTTCTAAGTCCTAATTCAAACTTGTCTGACTTCAGTAACTGCTGGAGGATTCAGAGAGATGACAACGCAGGGAGAAATACGTCAGACCTCATCTCCCCCAGGATAAAGGGGCCCAGGAAACTCACATAGCAAGTGTCTTCTCTCTAGACAGATTTCTTAACTGCCACCCTCCCACTTTCCTCTTCTGGACCATCTAGAACATTCTGGAACATTCCTCAGGGCAAGGTCCAGGGCAGGGCCATGTGCTAGGCCCAGGGCTGGCCTCCTGGCTCTGGCAGGACAGGCTTGTAGGATGAGCAGATTAACAGGGTCCTGTGTGACTCTTGAGAGGCAGACAGCCATGTCTGGAGGGGACCTTCTCCTAAACCCGCTCTCTCCTCTGGGCAGACAGGAAAAGGTGAGCTGCAAAGGTGCTGGACTTACTGATGGATGGCTTGGAGGAACTTACGCTGGTGTTTCCGAACCCGGGCTTGGTCTGGCTTCTTCACCAGCCTGGTGTGTTTATAGATGAGCCATGTTTCCCTGAGAACATTTGCAGCAGCATTTTTGACCTGGGAGTGAGGGGGGAAAGTTATTCTTTAGGGTCAGCATGGGCCACTCAGAAACTTCTAGAAATTTCCAGCAAATTCTAGAAAGTTGCGGAAACTTCTGGGAATGGTTCTCCATTACAAGTCAGAGGCTTTGGCATGTGTTTATATGTGCAGCGTGAGTGTTTTAATAGTTGTAGGCCTAGTCATGTCTGCATTTTTTGTCTTTTTGTGTGTTTTGAGACAGGGTCTCACTATGTAACCCTGGCTGGCCTGCTACTCACTATATAGACCAGGCTGACCTTGATCTCACAGAGATCCACCTGCGTCTGCCTCCCAAGTGCTGGAACTCACTGTTTACCTGAGGATGGCCTTGGATCCCTGGTCTTCCTACCTCCATCTCGCCAGGTCTGAGATAACAAGTATATCACCATGCCTAGCTTATGCAGTGCTATGGGTATAGACCAGGGCTGCGTTGATAGGCAAGCACTCTACTCACTGAGCACAGAGATGGACAGGGAGGGTCCATGCTTATCTTGGGGCCAAATCTTACTCTCTTGCAGAGCTGTGTGTCCATCATGAAGTTGTGAACGTGTTTCTCTGCCTTGGTGAGCTCCAACTTGCGGGCAACCACGGCGACCACCAGTGCAGTGCAACCGGCTCCCTGTGGGAAGAAGGGCATATTAGAGTCCTGTGACCTCCCCTCCTCTAAGAAGCCCACCCTGACATGGAAAGTGACAGGACAGAGGGTGGAAAGAGGCTCTTCCATGGAGGAACAGGGACTCTCAGACTCCTAAGATAGCCCCCAGGGTCTCCAGGGAGACAACGGCAGGGGCTGGGCCTAGGCAGGGTGGGCACAGGACCTTCCTGAGCACCCAGCCTCATTCCTGGTCAAATTAGGGTCTTTAAAAGTACCCAGAAACCGGGACTGGAGAGATGGCTCAGTGGTTAAGAACACTGGCTGTTCTTACAGAAGACCCAGGTTTGGATCCCAGCACCCACATGGCAGCTAACAACTGTCCATAGCTCCAGTTCCAGGGGATCCAACAGCCTCTTCTGTCCTCTGCAGGCATTTCACGACATGGGTGTACTTACCTACGTGCAGGTGATACATGCATACACATAAAATAAAAATGAATATGTTTTGGAAAAAAAGTACCCAGAAACGATTTATCAGGAAAAGCCCTACTGACAAGGGCAAAGCAACTTGCTGGAAAACTGTGTGGAATACTACAGAGCCAGGAAAAGGAACAGGAGAAAGACACACCAGAAGCACAAGCAGCACACAGCTGGGGCACTGTCCCATATATGGCTGACTTCCAAAGGCCGAGCTGGGTTTCAATTCAGGATGGAGAAACTAGTGGGTGGTGCTGGTGGGAGAGGTGAGAGTCTGTGTGTCACTGACAAGAAAGGGATACATTAGGGTTGAGAGAAGAGGGCTGACCGAGAGGAAGGAAGAGCTCAGTGGGCCAGCCAATGTGGGACAGTGGACAGCAATGCAAAAGGCTGAGGTAGGAGGGTCACAGTGAGTCTAGGAAAACCAGGACTGCCTGGCTCACTGAGGGGCTGGGGGTACAGTCCCTGACTAGAGTGCCCCAGTGAGGAGCTGGGGGTGCGGCTCAGGGGTAGAGTCCCTGCCTAGAATGCCCCAGTGAGGGGATGGGGGCATGGCTCGGGGGTACAGTCCCTGCCTAGAATGCCCCAGTGAGGGGCTGGGGGCATGGCTCAGGGGTACAGTCCCTGCCTAGAATGCCCCAGGGAGGGCTGGGGGTGCGGCTCAGCACTAAGAGCCCTGTCTAAAATTCTTCAGTGAGGTTCCATTAAGAGATGGTGGTTAGCCGCAGAACTTTCTGAAAGAAGTCATGCCCATTAAAGAAGGTGGTTTGCTATTCCCTCCTGGCTCTTGCCCTGGCAGACTTGGCCTCTGTTTCTTTGTAAGGGCTGCTGGCCTCCTGGGGAAGGGTAGGCCAGAAACCATTCTTATTGTTTTCATTTCTACTTCCTGTTGGAACCAAGCCAAGTGAATTAGGAAAAAATGAAGTAAAGCTATTTACAGAGAGCAGAGCTGGCAAGCTCAGCCTGTGGGGGAAGGCAGCAGAGGCCTGGCACAGGCAGAGGGTAGAGACCTGGCGGGGTGGATGGTATGGTTGGGCTGCTTTGTTTTAGTTTAGTTTTGTTACAGGTTCTCATTGTGAAGCCCAGGCTGGTCTAGAATCTGCCATGCTCCTGCCTCAGCCTCCTTCCAGTTGGACTGACAGGTGTATTGCCACCATGCCTGCTGATATAAGAGCAATCACATCTCTGGGCTGCCACAGGGACAGTGACCTAGGGGCCCCGAAGGGAAGGTGATTTAGAAAACGATTTTTCAGATGAGAGAAAAGAAAATGAATCCAGTATCTGTAGTCCACCTCCGTCAAAGGCAGACAAGAGGTGGGGTGCCCCGGACCCCTCCAGTCACCAGACCCAAGCTTTACATAGTAGGGGCTGATGTCAGCCAGGGATGGCGTCAGGCTTTGGGGTCTAGGTGTAGGTAAGGTGAAAGAACCCACTTAGTCCTCCAAGAAGAAGTGGCACTAGTTATAGCTGGGGACACTGAGGCACAGAAACATCAAGGCAGGGCACGCATGGGCCAGGGCAACCTTCCCCGCCCGCTCCCGCCCATGTGGCACTCACCATGATACCTGTGAGCAGGCACACACCCTTCCCGCAGTAGGTGTGTGGCACCATGTCTCCATAGCCGATGGACAGGAAGGTGATGGAGATGAGCCACATGGCTCCCAGGAAGTTGCTGGTCACTTCCTGTTTGTCGTGGTACCTATATGAGGGACAGGGTTTATCACTCCCCACCGCTCCCACCATCTATTTCCCCCCATGTCCCCGGGGATGGAGACAGGCCTTTAGGGCCTATGGTGCAGGCTGCTTGGGGATAGTGGGGGGCTGTGCCTTCCCCCCACACAGCTCTTGCAGCCCCTCCCTTTCCTGACACCCAGGCTGTGGCAGGTCATTCCTGCAACAGAGCCCAGGAAGGCCACGGTCCCTTCCCAAAGACGGACGCACGCAGAGGGCTGGGATGGCTGCAGGGCACAAGACATGGCAAGCAGTGAAGCATTTAGGTCCTACATAATGAAAGCTTTCCCACAGCAGTGAGGCGCCAGGAGCAGGGCAGGTATAATGTAGGGAGAAGGGCTCTGGGCTCTGTCCCCAGTCTGAGGCCTTGGTTTTGGAAGGAGGGGGATGCTGGAGGGGCTAGATTTTGGCATTTGGGGGGGGGGCTGAGAAGTCAGCTACCAAAGCTGTAAAGACGGTGCACCCAGCACAACCCAGGCTGGTGCTGGGAAGGTGCATCTTTGGGTTTGGGAGAGTTGGAAGGCCCCATGACTTCTGGGGACAATTCTGGTGTTAGTTTTTTGGTTTGGGTTTTGTTTTGCTAAGAGAGGGTCTCATATCGCCCAAGCTAGCCTTGAACTGACTATGTATCCAAGGATGACCTTGAGCTCCTGATCCTCCTGCCTCAGCCTCCCGAATGCTAGGGCACAGCCATGCTCCCCACACCAGGCTGGATGGAGCCCCAGCTCAACAGAAGCCTGAGCACCTGAGGCCAGGCCATAGCTACAGAGGTGCTGTAGAGTGACCCAGGTGTGGGGGCAGGGCTGAGGGGTTTCAGCAAGGCAGGTGGTTGGCAGCAGCAGACTGGTATCTAGCAGGCTGTGTGCTGCCTGCCAGGGTCCTCAGTGCGGTGGGAAAGTCAATGGAGGATCCCAGCACCCTCTGGTCTGAGGAGGGCTGGACCACAGGTCAAAGTCCCTGATGCCCAGCCTGGCCTTGGAGGAGCCAACATCTCAATGTACGGGAGGAAGAAGTGGGTGTGGTACCAAAGACCCAACTAGGGTCCGGAGTCCTCCAGGCATTCCCTGGTTAGGCGCGAGGCAAATGGATGTGGTCCCCACTAAGGCACTTGTGTGCCACCCCAGACCCAGCAGCACTTGCCACTGGTCACAGCTGGGGGGACCCCAGACAAGTCTCATCGCCTGTCAGCTGCCCAGGGCACAGACAATGTTCTCTCACTCCACTCTCCAGGGAACCTGCTGGGTCCACAGGTCTGCTGGCCACCTACGCCCCTGGCTCCCCAACTTGGTGGACTACACCCCTGGGCTCAAAAAGTGCCCCCTCCTTTGGCCCAGGCCCACCCTGGCTGCTGGCTTCGGTTCCTGCAGCTAATCTTAAATTCTTAGCGGGTGGGACAGCAGCACTGGGTGGCAGTGGCAGTGGGATAGCGGTGGCAGCTCAGTGTGGGTAGGACTCACATGTTCCCTCTCGGGTCCAGCAGGGCGGCCGAGTGGGGAGGGAAAGTTAATGTTAAATTTGAGAGTTCCATTGTGGAGCCTGGCACTGGCTGGCCTAGACTCCCAGAAAGAAAAAGGGGGATTGTAGGAGGGACCAGAGATGAGGGGTGTCCATGAGCCAGTGGACCCAGTTGCTGGGGTGGACGTCAGAGGCCAGCATGGGATGCCTAGGGAGGCCAGGGATCTCCCATGGGTCGAGGACAGGGGGCCCAAGGACACAGAGGTACAGGCTCAGCCTGCATTCCTTGAGGGGTGACAGGGTGGAGGAGGGGATTTGGAGCTGGGAGTTGAGCATGGAGAGGTTGACCAGGGGACACAGGGCAGAGGCTGGACTTGTGGTTCATGTTTGAGGACAGAGAGGCTACCAGGGGATATGGGCAGAGGCAGGATTTGGATTTGAGGACGGGCAGCCTGCAGTCACCTCTCGCATACACGCACAGTCCAGGCGGCAACGATCCAGGAGGAGATGCTGAAGACCAGCAGTGCGGTTCCAGGGCAGATGGTCATGAGTGTCTTGGTGACGAAACGTGTGTTGAAGGTAACCCGGTTGAGTGCGCCGATGCTGCGGCTGGATGCATCCGTGAAGATGCGGCTGTGTAGGAGCATGACTCGGGCCAGCAGGTAGAGACGCAGGAACATAGGGATGGACAGCAGCACGTCCACATCTGCCTCGGCCGCCGATGGCACCAGTGAGAAGGCCAGCCGCGCCGTCCACGTGAAGCGGTAGTGGCCGGGCACTGGGTGGATGGCGCACACAGCCAGCTCCAGAGAGATCAGAGACACTCGCTCCCACGTCATAGCAATTCGCCAGTCATCTGCACCATTGTCCACCAGGAACAGCTGTGGGACGGGTGGGTCTCCTGAGTGTCCCTAGGCCACCCCAAAGCAGACACTGGCCTGGGCCTCACAGCGACTCGGCTGGGGATTTTAGACAAAGATTCTTTGATTTTTTTTTTTTTTTTTTGAGACAGAGATTCATGTAGCCCAGGCTGGCCCGGACTATGTAACTGAGGATAACCCTGGACTGCTTGCTGATCCTCCTGCTAAAGCCTACCATGTGCTGCAATGACCATGTATGATTACTTTTGATTTCTTGTTTTTAAGACAGGTCTCACAATGTGGCCCTGGCTGGCCTGAAACTTGCTATGTAGATTAGACAGACTGGCCTCAGTCTCACAGAAATCCACCTGCCTCTGCCTCCTGAGTTGCTGGATTAAAGGCAGTGCCACCATGCCTATTTATTTATTTATTATTTATTTATTTAGAGACAGGGTCTTACTATACAGCTTAGGCTGGGCCTGGAACTCACAGCAACCTTCCTGCCTCAGTCTCCTGCATGGATGACAGGGTATGTGCCGCACAGAGAACTCTTGACTGCTCAGTGCCAGGCACAATTCAAAGCCAACAGTAGATGAGGCAGTGACCCTCTCTGTCCTGGCTGCAGACACAGGAGGAGCGAAAGTAGGTGCTGAGCCTGGTGTGGTGGCACACACCTGTCATCCCAGCACTCAGGAGGCTAAGGCAGGAAGGTGGAAGTTCAAGGCCAGCCTGGGCTACACAGCAAGATTCAATCTGAGGAAAGGAGAGGTGGGGTGCACGGGGAGGGAGAGGGAGAGAGAGGAGGGAAGAGGGAAGGGAAGAGAGGAAGGAGAGGAAGGCGGGGGGGCGGGGTGGTGGCTGGACTCAGTGGTACAGCTTGCCTAACATGCACAAGGCCCTTGGTTTGATCCCTGCCATTGAAAACAGAAAAAACAATAAAAACTTTTCTTAAGTTTGAACTTGGACCTTCCCCTGGCTGGAGACGGGATCCTATCTGGTGATGCTGGACGGCAGCAGCAAGGGCAGGTCCCAGGCAGCTCGCAGTGTCGAGGGGGAAGACCCGAACTCTCCAGGGTGCTGAGTTACTGGGCAGGACCCTGGGGATCGATGTGGGGTCGGAGGGAGCACTTTTGCACTTAAGGCATTATCAATTTATGACAGGCTTATGGATGCACCACCATAAGTTAATGAGTATCTGTACCCACGATGTAGTGTGACAACACCTCTGTCACCCCACATGTGAACACTGACGTTAGCCCCATTAGGGCTTGCTCTGTTACCCTTCCAGCTCCTAGCTCTGCAGACCCAGCACTCTGGTTCATCTTAGTAAACAAACTTCGCTGTTCCGGAAACTTCTCAGTAATAGAGGCCTGTGACTGTGGTTTGAGTCTGGCTCTGTCTCTCAACCTTGCTCCCTCCATATTGATGGTCAGAATGTGTCCCTGGGGCTGGAGAGACGGCTCTGTGGATAAGGGCACTGACTGCTCTTGCAGAGGACTTGGGTTTGATTCCCAGCACCCATGAACCATCCTTAACTCCAGTTTGAGGGGAATCCGAAGCCCTCTCCTGACCTCTGTGGCATTGCACGACACAGGTGCACTCACATACATGCAGACAATACACTCATACACATAAACTGAAAATAATAAATAAAATATTAAAAAAAGAAATGTATGCCGGGTGTGGTGGTGCACGCCTTTAATCCCAGCACTTGGGAGGCAGAGGCAGGTGGATCTCTGTGAGTTCAAGGCCAGCCTGGTCTACATAGTGAGTTCCAGGACAGCTGGGGCTATAGGGAGACCCTGTCTCAAAAAGACCAAAAAAAAAAGAAATGTGTCCCCAAATGAAGGCTCCATGGGGACCTGAACCCCCAGCATATAGAGGGTGGCTGGATTGGAAAACAGATCTTGGCTGGACATATGTCTGTCACCCCAGCCCTCAGGAGGTAGAGGCAAGAAGTTCAGGGACATCCTAGGCTACAATAATGAATTTGAGGCCAGTCGGATATGTAAGACTCTGTCTCAAAAAACCCCAAACAACAAAAATCCTGGTGTGACAGACATGGTGTCGGGACACTGGGAGGGTCAAGAGTGGGGTGCATCCCAGCAGCTCTCCCATGTGTTGGGTCTGGGGTCCCAGGGGTCATGAGTCCCCAGCAGCAGGCACTAACCTGGATCTCCCGTGCATGGTAGAGGACGACGAGGCCCAGCAGGATGACAGTGGACAGACTGATGAGGCATTTGAGAGCGAATGAGTACAGGGACTCCTGCACAGAGCAGATACAGGGCTGCTGTTGGACACTGGGGGACTTAGGGGCCTACCCTCTGTGGGAATCCTGGCATGGCCATTCAGAAGCAAAGGTAGTGGGGACAGTGCCCCCCTAAAGGCCCTGGAACCCCACAGTTTACCAGGCCCCACACAGTCCTGCCAGCCAGGGAGCTTGCTGTCCCCACATGCAGCCACCCCACTGCCCAGGGCCCCCGCCCTGCGTCCCCATCCCCGTTCACGGGGTGCAGCCTGGACTGAGCACGGGTCTGGACCTACCTTGGTGTACACACCCCAGGACAGCTCTGTCTCTGTCACCATAACAACGATGCCAAACATGCCGAAGATGAGTGCGTAGTCACTAAGGCGCTTGCGCTTCTCGAAGAGAGCCCTACGGTGCCCCAGGCGGTGGCTGACTGTCGGGGGTCTCCCAGAGCCTGACCTGGTCTCCTGCTCCTGCGGGTGTCCCCGTGGGCTGCCAGGTGACAGCTGTGTCTGCTGGCCCAGGCCATGCAGGGGCTGTGGGGGGCAGCCAGCCTCAGGGCCTGTGGGGTCCCAGCTGCCCAGTGGCCGCCCCACACTGCCATTGTGGCTGCAACTGCTCATGGCCACCTGCATCCCCAGGCTGGACTCACCACAGGCCCAGGGCCCAACATGGCTCAGCAGCTGGGCTCCAGAACCAACCTGCAGGAACACAGAAAAGACAGGGCATCACCATCCGGGAAGGGTTCAAAACATGTTTATCTCTTCTCTTGCACAAAAGCCATGGCTCCCCAGGACCATCTTGCCAAGCTCACAGGGCCCAGTAACCACCCTGGCCCATGAGCTCCTTCTGGGCCCCAGACCCTACCTGTGCTTGGGTGGGGACAGGGACACCCCCTTCCCTCCCCAGCAGAGTTACTGGCAGCGGGTGACGTGATGGCCTGCATGGCCGAGATGCCTGCTGCACATTGCTCTCCGTTAACAGACAAGGTGGGGATATGACTCAGCCAGACACACTGCCAGGTGCAGCCCAGCAGCTGCCATGTTCCCCTTCCTTGTCCAGCCTGGCCCTGCCCTTGAGGGGCCATGAGCTGGGGACTCTGGGGATCCTGCCCAAGATACAAGCTCAGTCCATCCTTTCTCTTTTCCTCTTCCCTTCTAATGATTCATTCATTCATTCATTCATTCAGAGATAGGGTCTCTGTAGGCCAGGCTGGCCTTGAACTTGGGGCAATCCGTCTCTCTCAATCACTCCTTCCTTCCCCTCCCTCCTAGTGCAGGGATGACAGGTGTGAGCTACCATGCTCCACCTACAACTGCCACCCCAGCCACTGGGCAGGTTGGGGTGGGAGGATCAGGACTTCAAGGCCAGCCTGGGCCACATAGTGAATTTGAGGTTGCCTGGGCTACATGAGACCCTGCCTCAAAAATAAAAAGAAAGGGATCAATAGGTGTTCCTTGCTGTGAGTCCCCAAGGATGGTCTTCCTCCCCCCAGGAACCACAGTGACAAGTGATATTAAGCGCCCAGCATGGTGAGCCTGCAGTGGGTCCGGGCCGGGCAGCCAGAGCCTGTGTGTCTTGCTAGTGGATGAGAAAGGCCCCCAGAGCCCTCTTTAGCAGGGTTAGGGCACTGGCTTCACAAAGTGACCTGCTCCACTTGCCCTTTGCCCATGGACTGCCAGGGAACTCGCTGGTCAGACTGGTTAGCCCAGGTTCCCCATCCAGGACCACACAGGTCCTGGTTCATAGGAGTGTTTTGACAGGGCGCCCTGACCCTGGACCGGGTGGCCAGCGACCATGCCCCCCTCATGTTACCGGAAGTCTCACCTCCATCCGTGTGCATGAAGTTTGGAGACTCAATGTCCCCCACGTACCCCACCTTGCAACTTTCCCCTCACTGGGGGAAACAAGGCTCCTCCCAGGTCCTCTATCCAGACCTAGGAGATACCCACCCCAGCAGGGTCCTCGGGCGCGTCCCCCGGGATCCTTGGCCTCCCGCTCCCTCTCGACGGTACCTGCGGGAACCACGGGGCTAGGGACTCGCGTGGCCGGCGCACCCGGGTGGCCCAGTCTGTGGTCAGCCGAGGCCGAGCGCCAGCTCCAGACGAGCGACGCCGTTGATTGGCTGAGCACAGAGGGCCCCACCCTCCGCGACCCCGCAGGCCCCGCCCACGCGCAACGCTCCTGCCTGGGCTGGCAACTCCGGGCTCCGAGCCCCGCTGGGGCAGCGCTTCCGGCTCTGCTGTGCGCACGCAGCTAGGTGTTGCGGGGGTCCTGCACACTGGGGGATCCCATCGTAGGGCCGAAGCCAGCCTGCTCACCTCAGGGCCTCTCCCCAGCAGACATGCAAGCAGGTTCAGCCCCAGAAGCCGGGCCGGGCCACCAGGCAGGGAGTCCCCAACATGCCGTTCTCCCAGCACCCGAGCAGCCCTGAGGAACTCAGTCAAGCTTTTATTTTGAGACAGGGACTCACGTAGCCCAGGCTGCCCTCCAACTCTCTATGTAACCCAGGAGGACCCTGAACTCCTGATCCTCACACGTCCACCTTCTGAGTGCTGGGATGACAGGTGCACCACCACAAGTGGCTCATGCAACATTTTTGCTGTTTTGTGGGGGGGGGGGGGTCTGCTTTGTTTTGGGTTCGGGTTTTTTGTTTGTTTGTTTGTTTATTTTTTGAGACAGGTCTCACTATTCAGCCCTAGCTGGTATGGAACCTGCTATGTAGACCAGGCTGGCCTCCAACTCACAGAGATCTGCCTGCCTCCTGAGTGCTGGGATTAAGGTGTGTGCTATCACACTTGGCTTGTTTGGTGTTTTTGAAATCGGGTCTCCTGCCATAGCATAGCCTGATCTCTAATTACTCACTGAAATCCTCCAGCTTCAGCTGGGGTGACAGGCATCATGTAAGGAGATGTGGGAACAGAGACAGCCCTTTTCTTTTCCCTGTACCCAGTGTCACCCCATCATTGACAAACTGGGGTTGACTCTGTCCAGTTTTGTCCCTGGCCTGGGGACTTCCTGGATGCAGCCATATCCTAGCTCCAGGTTCCAGGAACAGCTAACTGGTTATGTGTCCTATGGCATAGTCAACAGGGCACAGAAATGTCCGGGGGGAGGGGGACAGGCCTGCCTGTGGCCTGTGGGCTGATGAACTGAGCCAGCAGGCATACCCATGTTACAGGACCCAGGATCAGCCACCAACATGTTGATCCATTTTTGTTTTTTCAGTCCTTTTGAAATAGGGACTCCCTGTATTTAGAACTCACTATGTAGACAGGCTGGCCTCGGTGGTGCTCCACAGAGCTCTACCTGCCTCTGCCTCCTGAGTGCCGGGATTAAAGGTGTGTGCTACCGCCCGGCCCTCAGCCACTTTCTAAAGCACAGTGACCAAGCCATCCACAGATCCCTGGGGACTGGGGACATCTCCTTGCTTTTCATGTAAGACTGTGGCCAGTCACTGCCCACCCAGCCCCTCCTCCATTATCTCACAGGATACATTCCCACAGTGCCTAGGGCCAACTCTGGCCTACAACTGTATGCCCTTCACAGTCAAGTCTAGCAAAGGAATTCACAGCCTCAGCAACCACATCCTTGGGCAATCCCCTTTCCCCTGGGGTCTCCTCCCCTTTAAGGGGCCCAATTGGGTGGTGTCCGATGGCCCAGTCTAGCTGGCCCTTTGGCCTGTGGGAAGAGCAGCCTTGGACACAAAGAGGCTGATGGAGAGGTAGAGATGGGAGTAGACAGACCTGGTACTGTGGAGTGACTTGGCTGCATCCCTACCCCAGGCAGGGGCTCCAGGAGGCCAAGTCAAGCTGAAAGTGACCAGAGGAGCCTACAGATGATCTTGACAGCATCCTGAGACACTGCATGGACTTCTGAGCTGGGAACTCACCTTGCAAGAGCCTCACATCTTCTGGAGGCAGCTGGACAGGAGGCCCCTCCTTAGGGGCCTTGGGGTAGGGTTGAGCTCCCGTCCCTGGACAGTGGCTATGGATGTGGCTGCAGAACATGGGGACCCTCTCAGGGCCTGAGGGACTCAGAGACAGCAGCTGGAGCAGAGGTGGACACCCATGCTCTCCTCCTACCTTCATCCTCCACCAGCTAAGCCACCATACAAACCCTGACATCAGCAGGGCATGGGAGTGCATACCTGCATCTTAGCACTCAGGACATAGAGACAGAGGCATTAGGAGTTAAAGGACGGTCAGCTCCATAATGAGGTAGAGGCCATCCTGGGTTGTGCAAGAACCTGTCTCAGAAACCAAATAGTTAAAACAAGAGGGAGCTGACCCTAGAAGCTCCTGGAGCAAGGTGTGCAAAGGCCCTGGGGCAGGACAGAGGGGCCGGAGTGAGTCCCAGGGGAAAGCTGGGGCCCATCTCTCAGGTCACATCTCTTTTCCTGACACAAGCTTGACTCTGAAACCTAATGTCCTGTTCTGTGGTCACTACTTGTTTCAATAGCAACCCCCACAAACTTGTTTTGCACTCCCCAATCTTCACAATGTGACCTTATTGGGAAATAGGTTTTTTGAGACAGGGTCTCAATCTATGGTGTGTTCCCAGTGCCCAGCACAGGGCCCCAGCACAGTAACTAACTATGCGGTGTTTGTTGACTAACTGACCCCTCCATGGACAGCTCCCATCTGATCTTAGATGTCAGAAGTGGGGGCTGTGGGTGGTCAGGGTCCTTTGCCTTAACTCCACCCTTCAGGCTGTGTGACATTGAGCAGGTCACCCAACTTCTCTGAACAGGCTTGCCATCCTCTGAGAAGAGAGGGGTAGACAGTCTCCGGAGGTGCTCTAGAGAGTGAGCAAGCTTGCTATTACTATATTGTTTTCCTAGGCCCCCACTTTTCCCTTAAGTCACCAGAGGGTTTTTGTTGTGTTAATGGGATTTTTAAGCCTTTTCTTCCATTTTCTGCTTTTTAAATTTTTTTTTTTTTGGTTTTGAGAAAGAGGCTCATGTAGCCCAGGTTGGCCTCAAATTAGCTATGTAGCCAAGGATGGCTGTGAACTCCTGATCCTCTGCCTCCATCTCCTAAGTGCTGGGATGACAGGTGTGTGTCACCAGGCCTGGTTTATATGGTGCTGGGGATGGAACCCAGGATTCTATGCATGCTAGGTAGGCACTACCAACTGAGCTACAGCTCCAGCCCTTCTATAAACTGAAACTTAGAGCCAGGCAAGGTGGCACATGCCTTTAATCCCAGCAGTTGGGAGGCAGAGGCAGGTGGATCTCTGTGGGTTCGAGGCCAGCCTGGTCTACAGAGTGAGTTCTAGGACAGCTGGGTTACAGGGAGACCCTGTGTCAAAAACACCAAAAAAAAGAAAAGAATTAATTTTTTTTCTTGATTTTTGTGTCTTTGTTTTGTCTTTTTAAAATATTTAAATTTTATGTGTGTGAGTATATTGCCTGCATGTCTGTACCCGTGTTGTGCTATGCCTGTGGAGGTCAGAAGAGGGTGTCAGGTCCCCTAGAACTGGAGTTAAAGATGGTTGTTAGTTGCCATGTGGGTGTTGGGATTCAAACTCGGGTCCTCTGCCAAGAGCAGTCAGTGCTCTTAACTGCCAAGCTGTTTCTCTAGCCTGTTTTGTGTTTCACATATCCCAGGCCTCAAACTCACTACAGAGTCTAGACCAGTCTTACACTCCTGATCTCTCTGCCTCTAATTGTGGGGGACTGGAACTACAGAAGCGTACAACTACAAGACCAGGCTTACTGTATTTTATTTCTTTGTTTATTGATCCACGCCCTCCTGTGTGTGTGTGTGTGTGTGTGTGTGTGTGTGTGTGTGTGTGTGTGTGCGGGGCGTGCGTGCGTGTGTGTGTGTGTGTGTGTGTGTGGCTGAGGTTTACAGGCAAAGCATGGCCACACCCTGCTTTTTCTGCAGGTGCTGTGGAGCCAAAGTCAGGTTTTCTTACCCACTGAGCCATAATTTCCCCAGCCCTTGTCTTGTTTTGGTTTGATTGATTTATTTATTTATTATTTATTTATTTATTTTTAGAGACAAAGTCTCTGTAGCCCTGGTTGGCCTCCAACTTGAAATCCTTTCTAGAAGCATCAGCCTCCCAAGCACTGGGATGATGGCACACATCAATTCTTCTAGCCAACCCCCGAAGGTGACACAGACTAGGCTACTCACCCTGGGGCACAGGGGTGTTGTAGAACCTCTGTGTCCTTCTGTCCCTCAGAGTTGCTTCTCCCTGGCTGGAGGCCCCCACTGTGAGTCTTTTCTCCTTGACACCTGGAGGGACCACACAAGAGGGACCAGGTGGGAGCAGGCCCTCAAGGAGTGCAGTGCACACAAAGGTGACACAGACTAGGCTACTCACCCTGGGGCACAGGGGTGTTGTAGAGCCTCTGTGTCCTTCTGTCCCTCAGAGTTGCTTCTCCCTGGCTGGAGGCCCCACTGTGAGTCTTTTCTCTTTGACACCTGGAGGGACCACACAAGAGGGACCAGGTGGGAGCAGGCCCTCAAGGAGTGCAGTGCACACAGATGCACACCTGGGATCCCAGTGCTAGGGGAGGCCGAGGCACGAAGATCCCTATGAGTTCCAGGCCAACCAGGGTTAAGTAGCAAGACTTAGTTTAAAAATAACATTGGCTTCCTGTGTCAAATTAAGCCCCTGGGTGTCCCGTGCTATCCCAGGCTCAATCCTGGAGACCTCTCCTTTCCCACTGGGTGCTGGACACTGCACACCAGCTCTGCCCTTCCTTATGCTGTTTCCTGTGCCGCCTCCCCTCCACAAGTATCCTCAGGGTTCCTCCTTCGCTTTGGGAGATACTGCTTGTGGTGAACATGGTCACAGGGCTTTCTTGTCCACAGGTCTGGAGATGGGATGGTGGCCACTAGGGTGGCGCAGGAACTTCTTGTTCCAGTTGCGGGGCGGGGGGGGGGGTTCTTGGGGCCTGGCTGGGGACAGTAGGGGTTTGTCCAAGGTCAGTGTGAAGGTTGGGGTCACCCTGCCTGCCTCCTCTAGACACCTGAACACCAGGGCTTTCCTTTGACAATTCCAGGCACTCTGGCCCAGGGAGAAGGGGGCAAGCAAGACCTGGAAGACCAGCTGGAACCTCCCTGACAGTGAGACCTGGGAATCCTAAGGTACTCCCCAGTATTTTGGCACCCACATGGGGTACCCTCACACTCCACCCTCAGGGTTAAAGTCAGGATGCTTCTAAACCCAGGCAGACCCCACCTTGGGGTACTGGGATCCTTCCTTGCTGGGTGACCTTGGGCCAGCACTCACCCTCTCTGGGCCTCAGCCTTCCTCCTACCATGGGGTGGGGGTGGGAACTGAAAGGAAAGACCCTGAGCAAGCAAGGGCCTGGCTAGTTAGCCTAGTTCCTTTCCAGGGGAGAATACAACCCCAGGAAAGGGGCCCTAGAAGGCCACCACTCAAGAGGACTGCCAAGCTGTGTGGCTGAGTCCCCGGGTCCCCACCCTCAACCCAGAGATGCTCCTGTTATCCAGACTCTGGGGGTTGAACCCCTTTCTCCCAGGGATGCGAGGTTCATGGGGGGGGGGTGTCAGTGTGCGGTGGACTCCGGTTCAGATAAATGTGAGGAAGAGCAAGGGACACTCCATGACTTCCATTGGGGATCGCCCGAGTTGGGGAAGCCGAGCTAGGAACAGAGGCTGGGATGTTCCTACGGTCACCGCCCTGTCCTCCCACAGCCCCCTTCTGTCTGTCCACTCACCGGCAGTCTTCGGCAGCAACTGCTGGAACCCGCGTCCCGGACAGAGCGCAAAGCCAAGTGCACCGGCAGCAGGGCAAGGGCGTGGGAAAGAAGGTGCGCACGCAGCTCCCGAAAGGGACCCGATCCCCCGGGGGACACACAGAGTGTCCCCACCGAAGCCGGACGGCAGCTGAAGACACTCAAACTGAGGCTGCCCTCGCTTGCTGGGGGGAGGGGGAGAGCTTAAATCGCACAGTTTGCAAACGGGGAAACTGAGGCTGCGACAGGGACGGGACACTCCTGCACCCCTGTACCCCAGCCAGGCTTCTGCGGGGACCGCTGTCAGCATCCAGCGAGAAGCTGAGCCAAGCAGACACAAGGCTGCTGGGCACGGGTTCCCCGCCCAGCGCGCACGCTCTGGGGACCGGGGAGGGTCGGGAGGGATGCCTGGAGTGAGCAGCTGGTGACGTGGCTCAGGCTGGAAGGTCCCAGATAGGAAGAGGGGGAGTCTAGGGGAACAGGGATTCGGGCGGAGAAAACTTCTCCACGTCCGCATCTGGCTGAGGAGGCACCGTCCCCCCCTCCCCTCCCAGTCCGGGTCCCCCCTGCGCCCCCAGTGGCGGAGGCCGGGTGACAGAGCCGTGAAGGTCAACCTACCGAGTCCGAACAATGCGCCTCCTGGGGTCTGGATCTTTGAGGAGCCAGTAAGGGGAACCCTGGGTTCGACAAGAGGGAGACACTTTGGGGTGACCTTGGCCGGACCCACGCCTCAATTTCCCCAGCCCACCTCCGGATGGCTCTCCAAATTTGAGTTGTGAACCTCTAGCTATGTCTTGCTTTGTCCTCCACAATGCCCCCCCTTCCAAAGCCCCCGTCGCAGTCCCCCTCCTGGCCCCACCCCTGAGCCCCCACCCACCTTCTGCCACGGTCGGAGGCAGGGGGATTTCTTCCTGGGAGCTGGAGACCTCTAAGAGTCTCCATCATTTTTTTAGTGTTGTTATTCTCGGTTTTTGTTTTGCCCTCTTTCCTCCTTTCTTCCATAAATTCTAAAAATAGTCATCCCTCCTCCCCAGTCCCCCAGCCCCGCAGTGTGTCGTGAGAGGTTCCCGCGGTGCTTGGGATTCCCGGGGCGGGCGGGGCTGGGGGTGCACCGGCTGCTCGCGTGCGTCCACTGTGGAGCCCCGCGCGACCGTGCCGGTGTCGGAGGGAACAAGGCGACAGAGAGGGGGGCTTAAGGGTCTTCAAAGCCGAGCTCTCCCGAGGGCCGTGGAGGCGGGGCTCCACCCTGCAGTCCCGACGGAGAAAGTCAGGAGGCGGTGGAGACAAAGGATTCCCATCTCTGTGGGCGACCCTGAACCTCGCATGGCCCGGGATGAAGCCTCCAATCCGCGGACCCCTTACATCGTGGGTGACAGATCACATTCCGGTCTCCGTACGTCCCTCCCAGTCCCTGGAGCCTAGCAGATATGGTCTGCACGGCCCACTGGGTGTCTTGGCCTCCCCGGGCCACACTGGCCACCCTCGGAACCGGTCCAACCTCGAAACCCGTGCATTTGGGTCCTTCTATTTCCATTTGGGTTCCACCCTATCGCGGCTGGTTCCCACCCCTGGGCGCTGCCCTCGAGTCTCCACCCGCCCCAGGTCACAGCCTCCTACAGATGCCCTCCTGGCCACCTCGTCCGGGTCAAGTCCCCGCAGTCCCCCCCACCACGGCCTCCATCCGCTTCCCCTAGGAGAACGAGGCCCCAAGGGGCCAGTGGCCCCAGGCGAGAGGCTGACTATAGGGTGACTGAGCCCGGAGTAAAGATGTTGGGGTTCCTGCGAAGACCGCCAGCCGGAAGGTCTCTCCTGACTTCTGCAGGTCGAAATAATTACGGAGGCCTCCAAGGACAAGTGTCGAGGGTGGCGCTGGGCAGCTCCAGGTGCGGCCCTGGGGCCCGAAGTCCCTGCTGTGGACTTGCCACATCTCATGGCTCACACACTGCAGAGGAGGGGTGGAGGGAAGATGGCTTTGAGCTGGGGGGGGGGACAAAGGCCCCCTAGGGCATGTGTACACGCGAAACCCGGACGCTGCGGTCCACGCTGGAGACGCCCCTCCCCTGCCGCCACTCGTCTCTGCGTGATGCCCACCGCGTGGGCGCCGCCCAGGCCAAGAGCCCGGGGGAGCTGCAGAGGGTCAGCCCTGATCCAAGACTGGGGGCGCAGGGTCCAGCCAGAGCGGGGTCTTTGCGCAGGAAAGCAGTCTGGGCTGGTGTTCCAGGGTCCGGGATGAGGAGGTGGGGGAGATCATGGTGGGGATGGGTTGGGGAGGATGGGGAGAGACTGAGGGATGGAGGGAATGAGTCTGGGAGCAGGGAGGGGCTGACTTGACTGAATTGGAGGCTACAGGGCTTCCCCTTTACCTGATAGCCTCTCTCAACACTGTTGTAAACATGTAGAAACAACCCTCTGAGGGCTGACTTTAATTATTATTATTATTAAATAATAATAATAATTATTATTATTATTTTGTTTTTAGTGTTTTGAGTCAAGGTCTCAGGGAGCCCAGGCTGGCCTTGAACTCCTGATCCTCCCGCTTAGCCCGAATGGTGGGATAAGGGGCGTGAGCCACCGCGACCTGGTGCGTGGTCTGTCATTTTGAAACTGGCTTTTCTTTCCCCAGTCTGCACACCGATTATTAAATAATAATAATAATTATTATTATTATTTTGTTTTTAGTGTTTTGAGTCAAGGTCTCAGGGAGCCCAGGCTGGCCTTGAACTCCTGATCCTCCCGCTTAGCCCGAATGGTGGGATAAGGGGCGTGAGCCACCGCGACCTGGTGCGTGGTCTGTCATTTTGAAACTGGCTTTTCTTTCCCCAGTCTGCACACCGGTAACCCGCGAGCTGGGCTGGTGGACCAGCAGCTGAGGAGCCAGCGCTCCCTCACTGCCCCGCACGTCTCCGAGTCCCCATCCCCCGGCGCCCCAAGGCCTCCACGCTCCGGCGTCCCCACAGGACTGAGGGGAACACCCACCCCACTCCCCGCCTCGCCAGCGCATGCGCCCAGGCGACAGGCTGCCCCGCCATCCCCGCACTGCGACCCGCACGCGGTTGCTATGGAGACGATGGAGGAGGAAACTAGGGGAAGACCCCCGCCGGCAGCCCGCCCCCGCCGCGAGCTCCACTCTAGTTTCAGCCGGTTTCCCTGCCCCGCGTGCGCAGTGTGACGGTGGAGGATTCCCCGGGTCCCCAGGGAGTTGCTGGGGCCGACGCATGCGTGCGGAGCAGAGCTTCCTCTTGCAGGGAAAGCCCGGGCGAAGAAACACTCTGTGCTAGCGCAGCCGCCTGGTTGCCATGGAAACCGCGTTAGGCGCTCCCCTCTGGCGGGTCCTCCTTGAGACAGGGATTCCCTGCTAACGCGCAGGCGCGCTGGGATCTGCGAAAAGGGGCTTTTCCGACTAAGAACAAAGAATTTGTCACCTCGCCTCTCCTGAGGGAGGAGGGGATCCGCTCTGCTCCTGTTTGTGGCTCTGTATTTTTTTACCTTTTTTTTTTTTTTTCTGGTGTTTTTGAGACAGGGTCTCCCTGTAGCCCCAGCTGTCCTGGAACTCACTATGTAGACCAGGCTGGCCTCAGACTCAGATCCACCTGCCTCTGCCTCCCGAATGCTGGGATTAAAGGTGTGCGCCACCACTCCAGGCTTTTTTACCTATTTTTATTTCATGTGAATGAGTGTTTTTTTCCTGCATGCATCTAAGTGCACCCATGTCATATAATGCCCGCGGAGGCCAATAGAATGTTTTGGATCCCCTGGAACTGGAGTTAAGGACGGTTGTTAGCCACCATGTGGGTCCTGGGAACCGAACCTTGGTCCGCTGCAGGACTTAACATTGCTGGGACAACAGGCGTTGGCCACCACACAGCTCTTGTCCGACTTATCCCTCTGCACCACCTCTGCAGCTTGCGTGCCTGGCAGCTGTTCATACACTCCTTGGTGCCCCACCCCTTGCCAGGCAGTACACCCCTACACTCCAGCCAAAGCCCCTCCCCCTGCTCCCACATCCCCCACCACGAGGATGCTTAACTTGTCCATGTGAAGGCTCCCTGACCTTCAAGGCACCGCCCTTCCCAGGGACCTTGGTGTCCTCGGTCCCATATAAGAGAAGAAACCAAGGCTTACACCACAAGCCCCTTAAAGCTGGCTGTCGAGCTGTTAAGGTTTAGACAGCCCTGCCCGTCACCAACAGGATCCCAAGGACTTCTCATGCTCCTGAGAAAAGGGAACCTAGCTGATAAGCACCTTGGTCTTTGAAGTCAAGAGAAGCAGACTTTTCTCCACTGTTTGGCCAACACAGCAGGCTTCCCCTTTGATCACTAAAGAGGGCAGGTTTTAACAGTCCTGCTCTCCCACTCCCCCACCCAACTTTAAAGAAAAAATACATCTTCCCGCCTTCTGCAGGAAGCAGAAGCCTCCCTTTTAAAAGGCTCCAGCTCAAGACCGGCAGACATTTTCCCTGCCTGGAAAGGAATCTGCCCCATGTGTTCTACCTCAAATCTATATGGAAACTTAACTCTTTCTTTAGGCCACTAATTACCTATACAAAATGACATCTAAACTGGTTGGGTAAAATCCTGTTTGTTAAATATCATTTTTGTTTTTAGTTTACTTTCATGGTGTTTTAAGATGTATTCATTTTGTGTCCTTCAAAGGTGTTTTGGTTTAAAAATGATAAACCAACCACATTCTCAACAAAGACTATATAACTAAATATGTATATACAGTCAACATAAATTTATGCTTCTTAAAATTAATTTACTTGGTATCATACTAATTTTTAAGTAAAATCTGATACAAACTAAAAATGCTAAATTAACACCAAAATGCTTTTTTCAGCCAAAATATTCTCTCTTTAATCTACAACATGGTTCCTGTTACTAAAATATATGTTAATATTAAGTACCTCTCTGTCTCTCTCTCTCCCTCTCTCCCCCTTCCTCTCTCTCACCACTGCCCTTCTGGGGCTCTACCAAACCTCTACTAAACCACCACCCTTCTGGGGCTCCTCTTCCCTCAGCCTCTACTAAATAAACCTCAGGATCAACTTGTTCCACCACTTCCCTCCCTTCTGGCTCACTGCATTTTTTCCGCTTGTCTCCCATCCCATTCCTTATACTTTGTCTCCATCTACTGGCTGGTCGTGCCACGCTCTCATTGCAGGGTTTTCCACTCTTTTCGCTTGCCTGGAAATCACACGTGTGTCGGAAAACCCCTTCCATCCTCTGGACATAGGACGCTATTTCCAGAGATAGGAACACACACTGCTTCCTGTCCAGGACAAGATCTCCCTTTCCTCTCCCTGATGATCTAATTGTGGGA